AAAACCGCCGAGGAGGCCGGTGCGGCGGTGAAATTCTTCGACAGATCGTTCATTGACACCAGCCGCCTCGCCGTTGAGGTGAGCGGCTGTCAACGCAGTGGGCAGGGGCAAAGCACGCAGCGGTAGACGTGCATCCGGCTAATCATTGCAATGTCAAAGCCAGGCGGCGGCTTTGTGGTTTGCGGCGTCCGCATCGCCCGCATCCGCCTGTGCTTTTACCGGCGGCCCGCGAGGGCCGCCCGCTGACGCAGCCGCACGCCCCCTAACCGCGGCCGCCCCTGCGCTTCGCCGCAGTTTGCGCGCCGCTTTCGGGACGCAGAGGCGCCGCGGCCATGGAGCAAATATTCTGAGGGCAGCAGCAAGCACAAAAAGCTTGTCACATCCGATGAGCAGCAGCAGGAGCAGCAGCAGCAGCAGCACCAAATCGGCAAGGACGGCGCCGGCGCCAAGGGCGGCAAAAAAGGCAAGGCGGACGGGGACGCTGCGGCGGGGGCCGGCGCGGCGGCCGCCGGCGCGGAAGCAGACGAGAAGCTGGCGGAGTTCCTGTCGCTGATGCAGCCGCGCGGCAAGGCGCGTGTGTGGAGCAACGACGAGCTACTGCCGGGGTCAGCAAAGGCGCCGCCCGCGGGTGAGCTGGGGGTGGCCATTGATCATGGCTGCGTGGGTTTTGTTAGGGCCCAGGCTGCGATGCGAGAGGCGCGGCCACGACAGGGCTGTTGAGGGGGAGGCGGGGCGCAGGCGGGCGGGTGGCTCAATGCGAGCGAGATGTATTTGAGCAGAGCGAAGCACGCAGCGTGCAGCAGCGCCGCTCGGACGCGTGCGACGGCGGGCTCCCCCCTTCGCACCTGCACCTTCAGCAGGCACGGCCGCGCAAGGCAAGAAGGGCAAGCGGCTGCCGGCCGCCGCCGCCGCCGCAGACAAGGGCCCTTCCGCGGCAGCTGCCAAGGCAGGGAAGCGCGGCGCCGGGGCCGCCGCGGGCGGGGGCGCAGGCGCGGGGGAGCGGGTGGCGTTTGAGGGGGACGAGGATAGCGGCAGCGGCGACGAAGACGTTGAGGCGTTCGAGCCGCGGGACCTGGCAAACGGCGGCGGCGACGCCGCCGCACGGCGGCGGAGGGGCGAGGGCATTGCTGGTGGCGGCAGTGGCGATGAGGAGGATGAGGAGGATGGGGAGGAGCTGGCTGTGAAGGATAGGGTCGTGGTGGATGAGGGGGTATCTGATCTTGACTATCTGCGGTCGCGGATGAGGGCCACACTTGAGGAGGATGAGGAAGAGGAGGAGGAGGAGCTTGAAGGCGGGGAGGCACAGGGGCAGGGTGGCTCGGACGAGGGGGACGAGGAGATGGAGGATGGCGGCGGCGAGGAGGAGGAGGGCGGCGGGGCAGACGAGGAGGGCGGCGGCGGCGGGGAGTTTGACGCAGCTGCGCGGGGCGACCAAGCCGGCGTCGGGCCCTCTGGCGGCGGCGGCGGCGGCAGGGGCGGCGGGGGCGGCGACTTGGAGCGGCAGATCCTGGACACTGGGCGGCTGTTTGTGCGTAACCTGGCGTACGACACGACGGAGGCCGACGTCTCTGAGGCGTTTGGGCGGTTTGGGGGGCTGGAGGAGGTGCACCTGGTGCTGGACAGGTGGGAGCGTGATCTGAGATCTGAGATCTGAGATCTGGGGCCGAGGGTGTGAGGGGGTGGTTGGCTGTGATGTCGGTTCGTCGGGGCTGATGCATCAGGGTCAGGGCTTGCCGGCGACCCGGCGGCCCAAGGGGGCGGTAGTGCTACTGAAGAGGCGGGGCCGGGCTCTTTGCCCTCCCGGGGCCGGCTCTCGGCTGGGCCCCAGCCGCCGCCGCAGGCTGCGCCGCAGCGGCGCGTTGCTGCTTGCGCTCGCTCTGTAGCCCCCATCTTGACCGGACGTGTCGCTCCCACTCTCCACCCGGGCTGACCACCCATCTTCACACCCCCTCGCTTCTCCCCTTATCCCTCCAATCTGTTCCAATACCCCACACAACAACCTACCTCCGACCGATCGGAAACCGAAGGGACACCAAGCGGTCGCGGGGCATCGCCTATGTGCGATTTGCGCTGCCCGAGGATGCGGTTGCGGCCTTCAGGGCGCTGGACATGACCCCGCTGCAGGTGACATGCATGGATTGGATGGATTGAGAGCCATGCGACACAGGCGCAGGGGTTGTGATCGGGGCGCTTTCGTGATGTCTTTGTGTGTTTAAGTGTGCGTTCATGTGTTTGTGCATGCGTGCATGTGTGCGTGCGTGTGCGCGCGCGCGTGCGTGTGTGTGTGTGTGTGTGTGTGTGTGTGTGTACGCGCGCGCGTGCAGCTGCACCAGTTGTGGCCAGGGGGCTTGCAATTGTCGATGAGGTTGCCGTTTGCACGGAGCCACGAGGGCCGGAGAGGACGGGGCATCAGTGAACGTGCAGCTGTGACATGCAGAGAGCGAGACGCCACCGATTTGGCACTCCTCCTTGCACCTGTGCCCAACCCGCCACCCCACCATCCCCTCGCCCCTCTTCCTGCAAACCTGTGCATCGTCGATCGTTCCCCAGGGCCGCCTAATGCACGTGCTGCCATCGAAGCGCCACCCCGGCGACGAGACCGGCGCTGCCGCCGTGGCCGCCGACGCGGACGGCGGCGGTGGTAACAGCGGCGCGGGCGGGTTCAAGGCGCAGCGGGAGCAGCAGCGCAAGGCGGACGCCGGCAACCGCGCGGCGTGGAACAGCCTGTTCATGCGGGCAGACACGGTGGCCGAGGCGGTGGCGGCGCACTACGGCGTGACTAAGGGGCAGCTGCTGGACCGGGAAGCTGCGGACCTGCCAGTCAGGATGGCCCTGGGGGAGGCTCAGGTGCGATAGGCCCCCTCGGGCCTGCGGTTGCACTCAACATTGCATGCCCGTCCCTCCCCCTCCCCCTCCTGGGGTGCAAGCAGGGAGCGGCAGACAACGGCCTCTGGGGGGATACGATTGTTGCGCCGCCGGCGGGGGCGCCTGGCCCTCAGGCCGGCTAGCCTGTTCTGGCGGAAGCGCGTCAGCGCGGGCGCGCCTTGCCCCTCCCGTCCCCTCAGCATGGTGGTGCCGCATCTTACTCGTGCAGAGCCCGCGTTCCAACTTCTTACGGCTCCCGAAAGGCCTGCAACATCTTCACCACTCCACAGGCCTGAAACCCTACCTTCATTCCCCCCCCACCGCTGCCCTCTCAACCAAACCCCAGGTGGTGTCTCAGACCAAGGCGGCCCTGTCAGAGGCGGGCGTCAACGTGGCGCAGCTGGAGGCCGCAGCGGCCGCGGCCGGCAAGGCCGCCGCATCAAAGTGCGCCGCCTGCCCGCCCGCGGAGCCCCCTTGTCCCACAGCGTCGCCGCGGGTGTTTCTTTTGAGGGGCGCTCCCTGGCCGCGCTCGTCATCTTTTGCGCCGCTCCAAATTAGCTCCGCCCCTGGATGCTGCTTGCCCCGCCTTTGGCATGCTGATCTGTCAGTCAACATCCCCCAACAGCATCCGTCCGACCCTCGTTCTCGCTCCTCCCCCCGCATAAACATGAACCTGCCCCCAGGTCTGTGTCGCGGTCGCCCAGCACCCTGCTGGTGAAGAACCTGCCCTACAGCGCTGACGAGGACGAACTGGCGGACCTCTTTGGCAGAGCCGGCACGGTGGGTTCCTTGCAATCAGGGGTTCAGCAAATGTGGGGTTCCGAACACCCGACATTGTGTACACTTGAGACGCCGTGATATTGGGGTTCTCGTGCCTTTTCGGCTTCGCGGGCGTCTGCGTCAGCCGCGTCCCGCTGCAGATGAGTCGCGATGCGGACAGGGTCGTGAGGGTTTTACGGAAGGCGCTGCGTTCTCCGGGGCCCCACCCTTGCACCCACACCACCCTTCTCACCCTCCTCTTCCCCTCCCCACGCGGGCGCTTATCCAAAAAATCGACAGGTGGCGCGGCTGGTGCTGCCTCCCACGCACACCCTGGCCCTGGTGGAGTATGCCGAGCCCCAGGATGCGCGGTGAGGGGCTGGGCTCTGTGTCATGGGCTGGGCGTTTTGTGAGGGGCGGAGCGGTGTGTGAGGGGCGAGCGTGTGTGAGGGCCCGAGTTGTATTGAGGGGCTGAGCGTGTGGAGGGGCTGAGCGTGTCTGAGGGGGCTCACTGAGCTGCAGGGATTTCAGGGGTAGGGCGGCTGCGCGTGCGCGCCTGCGCAAGGGAGCGCGTGTGCGTACGTCGCTGCTGGGGCGCCCCTGCCCCATTCCCCTCGATGTCGCCCTTTGACAGCCTTCGGATAAGCACCCTGCCTTCAAACCTCATATCTAATGCAATCTGGTTTCTCCGCAGGTCGGCCTTCAAGGCACTGGCTTATAAAAAGTACCGCCACGTACCCTTATACCTGGAATGGGCGCCCAAGGCAATCTGGGACGCGCCGCCACCAGCCGCCGCAGCAGCCCCCAAGTCGGCGGCGGCGAAGGCGAAGCCCGCGGCGGCCAGCGGCGTGGCGGGTGAGCAGCAGCAGCAGCAGGCAGGGGAGGCCGACGGCGGCGGCGGCGGCGGCGGCGGCGGCGGCGGCGGCGGCGGCGGGCGGCAGCACGCGGCAGCAGCAGTGGCGGCGGAGGACGAGGAGGAGGGCGGCGCCGCCGGCCCCACGGGCTCGATCTACGTCAAGAATTTGAATTTTGCGACGACAGACAAGGCCCTCTCCCGCCATTTCGACCGCGCCGCGTCGGCCGCCGGCGCGCGCGTCGTCAGCGCCAAGGTCGCACGGCGGCCGGGGCCGGACGGGAAGCTTCTCTCGCTCGGCTTCGGCTTTGTGGAGCTCGACTCGCCAGGCGCCGCGAAGGAAGTTGCCAAGCAGCTGCAGGGGTCCATGCTCGACAAGCACAAGCTCCAGCTGCAGCTGTCGAAACATAAGGAGGGCGGCGCGGCGGACAAGAAGTCGGCGAAGCGCAAGGGCGCGGCGGGGGAGGGCGAGGAGGCCGGCACCAAGCTGGTTGTGCGCAACGTCGCTTTTGAGGCGACGCGCGGCGACATCGTCGGGCTGTTCGGGCCGTTTGGGCACATCAAGTCCGCCCGGCTCCCGAAGAAGTTCGACGGAAACCACAGGGGGTTCGCGTTCGTCGAGTTTGTCACTAAGCAAGAGGCGAAGAACGCGCTCGAGGGGGTGGGGGGGACCCATTTGTATGGGCGGCGGCTGGTGGTGGAGTATGCGCAGCAGGGGGAGGAGGGGCTCGACGAGCTCAGGGCCAAGGCGGGCGCCAAGTTCAGGGGGGACGCGGAGGAGGGGGCGGAGGAGCAGGCGGCGCCGGCGAAGCGGCTGAGGCGGACGCTGTGAGTGCGTGTGTGTCTGTTGTGACCCGAGCGGCCGCGAGCGGTGTAACCCCAGCGGCGCGTGGTGGCGCCCGAGTGACCTTGAGCGGAGGCGATTGCCTTGACAGTCGGAGTGGGTGTTTGACGGCAAATGGGTCCTGTTGCTTGACTTCTGTTAGATTGCTTACGGCAATTTTGAAATTGAACGTGGACATGCATGTGAACAACTGCTTCCTCCTCAATAGACGTCCGGTCAAACATCAGAGAAGTGCAGACCAGGCCGGGCCGATCCAGGCTGTCAAAACATGGCCCATGGCGGCCGGCAGTCCGCTCATCCGCCCTGAAACCACGCAACTCCCACTGGGCCGCTCAGCCGAGGCAAGAGCCTCCCTGGGGCGCGCTGTGCTGCCCGGGTTGCGACCTATTGTTGCGGAGCACCTGCGTGCCCGCACGGAAGGCCACTGCTGCCTTGTGCCCCGACGGCCTCGCCCCTGCGCTGCGCTGTAGCG